GAATGATTGAAGATGAAGATGGAGGTGAAAAGAGAGCACCATTGATATATTCACCGATAGCTGGAGAGCTCGTTGGACGGTAAAGTTTAAAAAAAAAATTTTTTTTTCTCTAATCTTATAAATGTTCCAGGACCCGCTTAGTTTTTGATCAAAACGGTGCCTATTCTGGTTGCGATAATGACGGGATGTTTATAGTTGGAACTGGCGACTGGATAGGTTTGTGCCTAATTTTAGTAGTACATATGAATTGTAAGGTATACTTTCTTCCTAGGATTCGAAGTTCGACTTTACAATGTAAAAACTCGAGAAGATCTTGGATTTGGGCGCAAGCGAATCATACAAGGTGAACCAATAGGAACACGGCTTGAGTGTGACAGTAGTCCTGATAGCATTTTCCTTGAGGTAAAAAAAGTTTCTCTACTTCGTTTTTTCCCAACCATTCATTTTCACAGCTGTAAATGGACACACCTTAAGTGTTTCAACAAATAGATAAGTAAATATTGTTTCAGGTTCGTTATCAAGGTCGAGTTGTAAACATTAGTGATGTGATTTCGGCGGAAAAATGTCAATTGCCACAACTGCCAGACTTGTTCAAATAGAAATATTTTGTATAATAGCTATTTTAATGTCTAATTCAATACTCCTCACAAATGCTCAGAATTACGACGTGATCCTCGATAATAAATGAATTGTATCTATTAAAGTTTCACTCAAAGGGAGCGAACGGCACTAGAGTTGCCAGCTGTTAGAGACGTGGCTGACTAGGAGCAATATGAAAAAATTAGAAACATTACAAAGTGCGCTAAAAAATGTCCATCTGCCACACTTCAACCCCCTTCAAAGAACTGCATTAATTTGCTTGTAGTGTTCTATCAAGCAATACTTCAAACTCTCTAAATTTCCCTTATATTGTTATCTTTTGCTTTTTCTTGTTGGACTACCATATATTTCTCTTCTAGAAAAACCTTATTTTACATATAGAGTGCGCTTTTCCTGGAAACTTTTCATAAACTTTATCCAATATAAGTGATTTCGTCATATTTGTACTCCCTTATTGTGCA